TTCTACTGAAATATTCGCACAACGTTTTCGAAGGTTGCAAGAAATAATTTTGTCGAGACGGTAACGCCTGGTGTAAACATTCTTGTTGTGTCGATGCCATTATTTCTGTAGAATGGTGTAATTTTGTTGTAAAATTTTCAAACAGCTTATAAAGAACTTTTATATCCTGAGTAAGAGGCTCCCAATTTGTCCAAGGTTTCCACGACTGCTTCTTGGTCAATAGTCAAAAAGTTTTCCGAAAATCGATGAAAGGACAGAACGGTATATAACTTCTAATGATGCTGACATATTTGCAAAACTCCGGACCGCAGGTGTCCTCTGGTGTCAGGTATCTCGAGATCGATAGAACTAGCTGAGAGACAGGCGAAACGAAGGACCCACATTGTGTGGTGGTGAACGCGCTACTCCCCTGAAAGGACAATAACGCGTTCGTTCCCACCGCATACATCTGCTGTCCGGAGTTTTGCAAATATCTCATTATCATTGAAAGTTATATTTCGCAGTATATACCTTGCCATTAAAAAGAGCACGCAGTAAATAATAAGTTGGACAGAGCGGTCTTTTGTAATCTCGCGATACTTCAATGAGCCTTGTTATCGTGTGGATGTGATCCATCGCACTAAATCCTTTTCGAGAGCCTGCTTGCTCACATGGCTGCCCTTCGTCCAGTGTTCTGTCGATCCTGTTTAGGATGACTCGAGTGGAAAATTTGTACACGACAGACAGTAAGCAGATTGGGCGATAGTTTCCGTTATCGTAGAGGTCACCATTCTCGAACAAAAGCAAGTTCTTCCTGCTCCTCTAGATGAGTAGGGAACTTGCGTTTGGATGGGTGACGTGTGACGAGGCGGTGTCTTTGCGAGTGGGACGTGTGCTCCAGGTGATCAGATCCTATCTTGTCCGGACTTGTTCTTTTTCCGATGTGGTCATGAAAGTGGTTGCCTGAGCAGTGTGCGTGTTAATACGAGTTTCCGGTGCATCAGTTGTTGCGAATAAATAAGCATAATGAAAAAAACTCGCTCCAGTTCACCAAGAAAACGGTGGATTATGAATTCTAAGATATCACTATCCAAGCTTATTTATAAGAATTATGATACCAGTAGAATAGTAGACTACTAATCATTATTGGTGTTCAACGTTCGGTGTAAAGTCGAGACTAATTATACAAAATATGACAGAATCGAAATCATCTTCATAGTGTAACTCTCTTTTATGTCATTCGACTGACATCATCAGTTGTTCCCCCTATTCTTACGGAGATGTAGGATGTATTTGGGTCTTTTGCTCAACAATGAATCACTTGAAATGATAAATGTTCTAAGCTACCCCATTGGCACACTCTGTAAACCACTGTCATCCCACGAACTACGTGAATCAGGTAAACTTTTTTTCTTTTTTTTAAACTTTTTTTGTTAACAAGAGTACTGCAGAATGGCCGATGAAAGTCGCAATGCATCCTTTATCAATCAGTACATGTTCTTTGTTCTTTTTGTCAGTTGAACTGACATTCGTCCTTTTGAAGGCATTTGAGAATCACAACAATCATAGTGCTTCCTATCTTTCAATGTTGGAAAATCTTTAAGAGGTTAGTTCAAATAAAAGACGTCCTCGGTGTACCTCTTACTGTCTTTGTTACACAGCATAATACATACAGAGTGAAGATAATGCTTTTATAAACGGATTCTTGTCACAACTGTCTATCAAGTGTTAGCCTTCAGCCGTTCATATACGTACTCGTACACAATGAGCATCACTGCACCACCTAAAAGACCTTTCAGATTACGGACTTTCATAAAACACTGTTCAAATTCTTCACATTCAAAACGAAGAAAAAATTTGACTGATCGGGTGCTTTATACCTATTACAATAAATAAACAACGGGTTTGAAAAGATACATCGTCTCGGAAACCAATTTGCTAACCCCGAAACTATGGAGAACGTAGCTTGTTCAGAGCTTCTGTTGAACCACCGACTATGTAAGGGCTAATGTGACACTCATTGCAATTTCGATGTTATTTTAGCAAACAAATCCGGTGATCTTAGAGCAAAACCATTCTACTTTCCCGGGTATGTTTGACTGCGATTGAATACGTGACTGGACAAACTTCCTATCCATTTCGAAAAAAAAACAAAATGATCGATTTAAATTGATTTGGTATGTTTGGTTACATAATGACCACTATGTTATCAAGAATAGGTTTCTGAAAAATAAAGACAGGGAAATTAACCTGGTCCGAGGCGCATTACTTTAGGAAGAAGACCTTTGTAAAGTGCACCAAGTCTGAATAAGAATATGTAGTATGACATGGTATATATAACATAATAGTGAGGTTCCTTAAACCTCCCAAAGGTTTACCGTCTCATCGTGGCTTGGTGTTGTTCTTCGGTGTTAGATTGCGATGTACAGCGAGTTCATTCTCCAGTAGGGTCTACCAAGGTGAGAAGGAGCAAGACGTTTCCTTCCAATGTTTCCATCCGTAAATCCAGCCAAGAATCAACCATTACCAGGAATCACCACCGTCCTGGTATCAAACTAGTCGCATGGAGGGAAATCTCCTACTGATCAACAAGGGCGGCGGTAGTCTGGGCTGACGACGATCTGAGGAAAGCCTCAGCAAAACGGGTCTTGGTACTCCAAAAAACTATACTGGCTAAACAAGCAAATCTGCGGCCTCAGTACACCGTACACTGGGCGCCGCCGTCTACGGCGTCGGGCGGTGAGACAACCGGTGATGGGAGATCAAATCTCGAGTTCAACAAGAAGTCATTGGAGACGGACAAAAAAGCGCGCCCATGACACACCTTCGAGAAAGCATCTTGTTTCAGCATCTATGACACCAGAACAATTTCTTCAAACGCTGACTATCACACTCTTCTTAAAGCTGTCGAATGGGTCAAATTCCACTGCCGTATAAAAAACGGAAGGAAAGAAGACCGACGTACGCCAATTAGATGACGGAACCATTATCATTCGTGGAGGAAAACTTCTGTTAAGAAATTTCAGAGGCGTTAGCTTTGTCTTACACCAATCCATTCCCTGTTAATTCATCTCATACGCAATCCATCTCGACCATTCTTCGCCTCTAACTTGCGCGAAAGAAGAAAGTCAGTATCATCAACTTGTGCAGCTGAAGAGAGCGAATCGGACGCGTTTTACAATCAGATGGAGGAAGTAATCCACCTCGAGAAACCCTTCTATAAGTTCACTGCTGGATGGTTCAACGACAGATTGGGAACGGCTACTGGAAATGAGTATGGGATAGGGATGTTCTGAATAGGAAAACGAAAAGAGAATAGATGTCTTCTAGGGCTCCTGTCCACAGCATGTCTCTTCCATGGAATTCATTTTCCAAGAAACGAGTAAACCACTAATGGAAATGGGAGTCTGCTAACGGCACGGCTCATGCGGAGATCGGTTATATTCTCACTAACAGCCTGCCGAAGGACTTAAAACATGTCCCGAACTCTCCACAGTTTTGTAAACAAAGTTTACACCGCACCTCCATTACCATAAGGAAGTTTCCCGAAAAGAGAAGGACACTGATGCTTGATCCTATTTGAACACAGCTAACACTGCTGGTAATAAGTGCCAGCTGTAGAATTTTCCAAGAGGATTTACATCAGCATAGGTAGAAAAAGTTATTTGAAGCAGCTCAAAAACGACGTACTCCGTAGAAGATCTTTAAATTGGGATCCTTGTATCCCTGTGACTATAATGTTACGCTATCCGCCCTAATAAACGAACAGCGCGAAATTATCACTACATCCATGCAACTGATAATGGAAAGGTTCTATACCAATCTTATTCGCTGCACAATTTTCGACTCGGTTCCCGATATCCCTGCCTCTACCCCGCTCGGCATTTTATCCTCTGAAGCTTGAGCTCAATATAAAGCATGAAAAAAGGCACAGCTCCAAGACGCTATAATATTACCATTGATTTCTTTAGAGTTCGCGGGTATAAATTACTTGTACAGAAGATTTCAGAGCAGTGAAGGCTCTCGAGCACGGACATAGAACCAAAGAAGGGCGACCGAAGAGATCTCCGTAACTATTGCCCAGTATACTTGTTGAATGAGTCCACAAGCTGTTCACGGAGGTTAACATTTTGCGCATAGAGAAGACCTTGGATAAGGCACAACCAGTTCAGCAAGCAGCACCACCTGCACCCAGTCCTAATCTTTATTAAATACGAGGAATCGTTTGACAACATCGAAACGAATATAATTCTATCATCTCTCATCGATCAAGGAGTGGAACCATCCAATATACGAACACTAGCGGACCGTTATTGGAACTTCAGCACAAATATGTAGATTCTCATTATCAACATTCACCATACTGTAGATTCACCATATCCTTAGAAAAAGAGGTTTGACAAGGCGACACACTATTTCCAAAGCTGTTTGCCACATATGTTCGCACTACTCATTGAGCCCTTGAACGATATCGTTTGAAATTTAACCGGCGCTCACAACGTCTAGCCGAAATGAGCAGCTCAAATCTCCTAAACCTATCCCATCTTCAGGATCCTGGAGAATATGCATCGTCAGCGAAACAGATGGGCCGATCACATAATGAAAAGAACCTATGACAAATAGACGAAAAGAACAGTGGAGTCGATTCCAAAAGAAATGTAAGTGTCATGCTGGAAGATCATCCAAAATATGGACTGACGTCTTGATTGCTAGGGTCAACCACCTGCATTGGAGAAAGGCGACGATTTCAGGGCTACGGAATGAACCTGTCGGACGTCACTACGCTCGAAGCAGACTACAACCACGGATGACGATTGCGTTAAAGACAAGCGAATGAAAATTATGCTAGGGTACGCGCAACCAGTGAAGACGAGCCATCCAAGTCTCCAAGTGGGTATACAGTTATAATAGAAAGAGTACGTTACCCTTCCTCTTTATAAATAAGCTGGATCGTTTGTAGCGTGCCATCATACTTAACGACTTTAGGATCTGGCTGAGGTCCTAAAAAATCTTTAGCGACTCTAAGAAAGAAACGCGTTATAATTTTCCTTAAAATGTTGCTTATACTGTTTCTCACCTTGAATTCGGGACTTAGCCACGTCGAACGGAATATTGCCAATTGAAGCTAATGACCCAGCCGTAAATCCAAGAAATATGCGACCTACTAGATTGTGAGTGGGGTTTTCCTAAAAATGATCAATGTAATTTATGTGCTAAAAACAGAACAGCTGTGAATGAAGACAGATAAAGGAATCAAAGATAAAACATTAGACGTCAATCAATCGCTTAAGGATATGATATGCATTGAGTTCCATTCGCAGTATAGTAGAGGTGACCAGACGCACATTTGGGCTAGGGATTGATTTTCGGGCCCACCAGTGCATCGACTGAGTGTTCTTGTCCTTCCGCATAAGCTTGGTACCAATTTTGCTAACCCAGAGGGATATGATGCTTAGCGAGTTTGGGGCGCGCGATCAGACCAACGACTGAAACAGTATGTATTCCAGAGAACCAATGATCATTGCGCTACATGCGCTCAATGAAAAGATATAAATAGATTAAAAACGCCACCTATATTTGATTAGTGCCTACACTATATAAGTACCAATATCTTTATGATGAAGTAATATAATCGGTTGCTCACTATTCACAATATTTACGATGTGGAAGTTCAAGGTATTTTTTGGCCAACGTTTACTGTTCATGACTGTTACTTACTTCCATATTGACGTTTGTTCAACACAAAATACTGAAGAAATTAATGAAAATGAGATCCATTTTGAACGGCTTTTTAAATAAAATCAAATCTCGACAAGCTGTTTGAATATCAGTATCAACGCAGCATATCAACATTGCACTTAGACATGGAACCTTTAACGAGTCCTCGGTAAAACTTTGAACATAGAAGTTCCCTGAAGGAAATGACCACATTGAAGATGAGGACGATCGGTTGCGACAATGATCAGTAGAAAGCTAGCTGTATCAGAACCATGCTGAGACGTTTGCATGATTACGAAAAAGCTAAGCATCAGAAGAAAACAGAAACTTCAGAATAAGTGTCGGATGAGGTCAGAACGACAATCCATGCTTTTATATTTCACAATTCGAAGTTCGCCCAGGAGCTGAATGAATTTTAGCGCAATCTCCAATGACGAGGTGGCCAAACAAATCTTTCAAGCATTTCATGTGATTTTGAGACGTCTACACTTGACTATTACAGTGAGTGGTAAAACAGAACTTTGAAAAAATTACACCACACTGAACCTTTTCATTGGGAACCCTGTTCTTCATATTATGGTACAATCCGAAATAGATCATATTCCACACGCCATGACGGCCAAGTGTGGCCGTTATACCTGAAATGAATGACTGTACTGTCCAATGGATATCTTCCCATTCTCGAATAACATCCAGAAAGAATTTGAAAAATTGTCCAGGAACTTCAATGCTTACTTGCAAAACAGAGGAGTAATAATGTAAAGTTTTTAGTAAAAAAAAAAAACAACACTTTCAACTTTACAATAATCATTATGCATAGCATCGTGGTTGGCCGGTTACCACAGGAATTAGAATGCAAGTTGAAACACAGAAACCCATATAGGTAGACCTCTAACCAGAAAATACTAACGATTATGCTGCATAATGATACATATATGAAAATAAATAGTGAAATAAAGAGGATGAAATCGGAAAAGATTGCTTTCGAAGTTAACATTCCTCTTTCACTTATCCCAATTCCTTGCAATTTAATAAGAAAATGTTTGTGTTACAGAAGAACTTTACAGGTGAGTGTTTTTAGTGTCTTGGAAAGATTGAGTTTAACAGCAGTTGAGGGTAAGAGTTCTCGACGAAAAGTATGGTTTGTTATTCAATCTTAGTGATAATAAAAACTTTAAATCCACTGAAAATACTGAGGTTTAATCATATTATCCATTTCTATAGTAATTTATGCCTTTTAAATAGAAGTCTAATTTAAGTAAAGTGTTATTAGAGCACATATAATACAAAACGAAGGACCCGGATGGTGTGGTGGTGAAGTGCGATACTCCCCGGTAAGGACAATAGCGCGGGTTCGTTCCCCACCGCATACACCTGTGGCCCGGAGTTTTGCAAATATCTCAACATTATATACGAGTTATATTTCGCAACATACCCTGCAATAAAAAGAAAAAGGCAGTAAATAATAGGGTTAAGGAAAGTGTTATTAGAGCACATACAATGTAAAAAGGATAAAGGATAAAGCTCTCGGCGTTGACCAATCCCTGCGGGATGCGCCACGCATTCGACCTCATTAAGTATCATTGGAGATGATTGAATGAATATCTGGCCTTTACAATGACTCGAAGTGGCCTGTCGAGGTATCGAGGCAGTGCTGCTAGCCTCCCAGACAAGTCTGGTACCAATTTGCCGACCCAGGAGTGATAGAAGGCTTGGTAGGCCAAGGGTGTGGGGATCGACTCCATGTGTGTGTCGCAGTGGTGCCTCCAACCACTGCGCTACGCGAGCCCCTTATGGAATATAACACTATATAAATTGGAAACCTCAATATTAAGACAGATTCCGTTAGAGAAGGATCCTCATGATTGAAGAATATTGTTTTAGTGAATAAACCATGCCGTACAATAATGAAACCATCACTGTATTTTTTCAACTGCGTTGTACTAATTCTCATGAATTTTGATTGCTACTATATATGTTCTTTGTTTTAAACAAGCCATATTTGTGGATCCCTTCACTTCCATTTCTATTCTCATACTCATCATTGACTAAGGTTATTGAACGTTTTAGAGGTAGGCCAGACTACTGCTTGAGTGTTGTCGTCTTCCTTATGAATGTCATTAAACGGTGATCGTATGGACTCTCCCTGGAGTCTTGGAATAGTTGGACGTTCCCACATCGTTTTCAGGGAGTGGATTGTTCCCAAACAAGTCTGGTGTCAATTTTCAGACCTCGGGAAGATGAAATACCCATTGAGCCGAGGACAGGATAGAGTCAGAACTGCATTTGCGATGATCAGCCTCACAACCACTGCGCAACCCCTCCTCCAACTGTTAAATGTTATTAAATGCTGTTATTAAATGTTATTTCTAAAATTTACAAGCATCATTGATTGAGTGTTGCAAAGTTCTCATCTATGAGATCGCTTTCCAGAGCTATGCAGTATGTTCTTTAAAAAACATGAAAATCGTCGTTGAAGACGTTTGTGAAAACTTTGAACCACTACTCTCATTGGTCTCCGCCTGAAATCACGAGGACCCTAGTTGCTGACGATTATAGCGCAGCTGCTACTATTAAAAGGTATAAAGAGACGTGCTTAGTCTTGATGCTTTAAAGATCTTGGCATTTTAGGCAGCACCTTTCAAAGAGGGAGCTCCAAACTCTTTTCGCTACTACAGAACGAGATAATCTTACCATCATGCGCAGAGCAAGAAAGAACTGTGGGAACGAAGAACTGGACCCTGATCCCCGTCTTCTTTCTGTTCACTGTTTTCTCGGCGATCGGTCTTCTTCATGAGTCCAGTGATTGATGTTAGGAGAGTGATGTCATCGGTGAGGCGAATATTGTGCATAGCCTTTTATCCCCATGCCAACCTCGCACGGTTTTCACAAGACGCTGTTGAGAGTAGCTAAGCCGCTGTCTCATAGTGTTACAGTCACAAGATGATATTCACTGTTTCATGAAAGTGGAACATAGCAAAAATCCATGTCATCTGAAAAAGGATCCGCTAAGACAATATAACCGCTCACCTCCAGATAAAATCAAGGTTGCTAAATGTTGCTGTTGAATATTCTCTTTTCTTTCTGGATAAAATTCTTCGTTTGTAAATTAAAAAACGGTCTGTTCCTTCCCATAGCTGAAGCATTCTTAGTTGAAGGTCCTTCAACTCTACAGCATTAGCAACAATTGCTGCGCTCATCTTCACAAATCCTTGTAATGTCGATTGCAAGTTGGTGGTTATTTTATCCGTCACTTGTACAACGGAACATTGGTGTACCACCTCGAGATTTTCTAGGGAGTGGCACCATTGGGTCACTTCTAAATTCTTGGTTTTTCTTCTAAAGTCGTTGAGGCATTGAGTTATCCAACAGTAGTTCTTCTCGATATTGATGATAACAACATCCATAGAAAAACCAGATTAATAAATAAGCAAAGTCCATTTTGTAGTGGTTCTGTGACATCGTTTCCTCAACTATGCGGCTCTCTCATTTCACAAGAATAAAACCTTGTACAAGCGAACGTATTGCACATACATTTCAACGGGTGCACAGCACTTAGACATGTTCTCATGAATAGGCCACGTAAGTCACTGTATAGATTAAATACCCACTTAGTCACTTTCTTAATGCTAATCATTTGGAGAGCGACTTTTAAATCTGCGTGGCTGACACATCTGTTTGCCGTCCAATTTCTTCGTGCACTAGATGTCAATGAATATCAACTCGTACGAGTCACTGAGCACTGTCGAGTAGATGGCTTCAGTCCGTTGCTGTACTTTTCTATCTATAACGCGCTGTTTCTAAGTATTTTGGTACTACCTTCGGTGGTTTATGTTTTCTACGTAAATTTTAAGACCTTTCATGTATCTCACCTCACTTTTGAAACACTTTGGACCCTTGTGTATAAAGACAAAACCCTTGTCTACTATGCAAAAGTCGATCTTAGCATTTTTTAACCAGTTTCGCAACATATATGAACTATATACTGCTATTTTTTATATAAACCCATTTCAGAAGACAATAGTGAACCATCATACTTGAATACTTGGGCACTTGAATGGCCCGTCCTCACTCATTGTGCGGGTCCCAGAATACTCTCCAATTTTTTTTGGAGATTTGCTGGTTAAGCCATTGTGGTTCCCTGGAGTCCCAAGGTCAGCCAAGCCAAGGTCTGCCCCAGGTCATCACCACCACGCAGGCGCAGCCCTTGTGGATCAGAAGGAGATTTGCCATCATGTGACTAATTTGATACCAGGAGGGTGGTGGACCCTGGTATTGGTTTACTGTTAGCTGGGTTTCTAGTGGAAACGATAGTCTACTTCTCACAATGAATAGTGAACCATCATAGTGATTGGAAATGAAGTAACAACCGACCACTGTTCTAAATTCATATTTATGTGCTCAACACATAATAGATCATATTGATTTTCCAACAACTCCCCATGACTTTTCGATAACTAAGGAGCGAGAACAGTTGAAGTCGTGACAGACTTATGGAACAGAATTTGCCTTTATCACCTAACGGATAGTGTCCTTGTGGACAATAGCCCACTCGTTCAATCATTTCGGAACCCAAAATGAACTTCGAGAAAAAGAAATTGCGGCTTACGGACTCTACAGAATCAGAATTTCAATATGGTAGACTAAGAAAGGTCTTATGTTGTTTCCGAAGGTTAGCCATGAGCTTAGACAGTTCATATTGAAAGTTGAAAAGCCCATTCCATTTGCGCGCACGAAGGAACATTGATGAAGTGCATCAGAAACGTCCCTGTTACCAATTAAGCAACAACGTCCTCTCTAGTGGGTGCTCTTTCCACCAACAATACTCTCCTGTCCACGAAATGATTTCGCTCAAAAAAGAGTTTACTGTAAATTACTACGTATAAAGAAAAGGTCTTCAGGTTTGATGCCCAAAAAAGTGATCTGAATAAGCTATATAAAAGGTACAACAAAAAAATCACCATCCAATTGATTTACCCGAAAACTCAATTTTGTGGACTCAACCATCGCTTCTCCATTGGACTTTTTGCAATTGAAGCCGCTATTTAGACTGAATAAGCAATATTTCGCCTACTAGGAAACGATAACGTGACCGAATTGTTAAAAGTTGAAAGGCTTCTCATAGCAGCGTTATGTACTTTTTACGAGATTTGATTTCACGAGTAGAAATAGTATCTCAGAAAAATACACACATCCGAAGTGGGTATGGAAAAGGTCCTTCCTGTACGTATTTAAAGCACCAAGTACTCTGGTTGTTAAGAATCACCGGAAAGTTATACGTACAAAAAATTCTAAAGCATTCCCATTGAAGACAATACAGAAATCAATCATACCTTTATATAACCCATTTGTACCTATACCATCTGACTTTACAATTTCACGTACCATCGTAGCAGAAGATTTTTGCTAAAACGATATATGTCAGTTGCCGCAAAAACGCAAAATATCTGGAATTGATGGGATCGCACCTCCATTAATGAAACTCCCCGTTCAGCTTGTAGTCTTACTTTAACAACTTCAAAAGGATTTATCACAACAGCTTCTGTGAATCCACAAAATAGTCCGGCCATTGACAATGACTGCAAATCACTGAACACAATTTTAGAGAATTTTCTTAAAAGAATTGATAAAGTGCGAGATGTCTAATAGCTGTTTATATTGGGCTAGAATGAAAACCTGCACTCACAATTGCTGGAGAGATATCGGGACTAGAAAATATCTTCCTATACTGCTCAAATGTGAAGAATTTTGTAGCACGTTTTGGTGTTTCCGCAAGAATTGGTGGAAGTATTCCCTAAAAATAATTCCAGGACAACTTGACCTAAAAATGAGCTATCCTTAACAAGTACTATACTAGGACTAATTTCTCGCCATGTGTAATGCGCAATGAAAAATTTACCCGAAAAAAATTTTTGTAGATTATTAAGCGAAGAGAATAGCTTTACATGGGTGAACAGAAGGAGCATAGCAAACAAACTATTTGCGGGAAAAGAAAAACATGAAAAACATGTATAGAAATGAATGCATTCAGTCTTGGCAAATCTTCGAGCAATTCGAGTACTTAATAGTAGTCAGTTATTCTGATACAATAGACAATTACATTTTTCCGTATAGTATGACATACAGGAAGATAAATTCCGAGTTAAACAAAAAACGATTATGCACTTCGCAGCATGACAAAGATAACTCACCTTGTAAAACCCCAAGAAACCCTCATTCTTGAAGGTTTTTCCTACACAGTCCAACATTCCCTTGTCATAATGACCAACTTGTAATCGTGTTTTGATTAAATCCAGAGGATGCATAAAGGAAACTTCCACCAAACCTGAACGCTAGGATGCATTTTGGAATATTTTAACGCTTCACATGCTCGGCAGAACCCACCTGCCGCTCCGCCTGCGACAAACTGACGTGCACCATCTTTAATTGCATCAGAAGTCATGTTCCTATAAAAGCGGTAAAGCTTCTTCACCAGTTCTTATCAATGATTATGGAAAGATGTATGATTGTACATGGTATTGAACACTGGTAAAGAGTGGCTCCTATAGGTCTCATAATGGTTTTGCAGAAGTGGCCCGTAAGATACCTAAAGGCCACATTTTATTTCCGGTGGTTTACTTTAATATATAGAGCTAGTTTCCTATTATCTTCGTTATCAACTAGTAACTTTCAAAACACAGATGTTTTTTGAGTGTTGGTTCGGAAAAGCCGTACTCTTCACCTAGAAAGACACAGAAACTCGTATTCGAAGCGAGTTCCTTAACCATAAATTTTGGTTTTAATCCGCTATTATTTTAATTCCAATTTCTATCTTAAATGATAGTTATCGTATGGAGTGTGTAGGTACAAAAAAACAGTAAAGTAGAGGCCCATAAGTTGTAAAACATTTCCAAACACAGAGAGAAATGTGTTTACATGATGGCCGATAGTAACGTGTAGTAAACAGCACTATATATATCACTCATGCCTATACAACGATAGAACAAAGTCCCTTCTAAAATTGTTCATGTTTACAACCCACGAAGCCCTCCAGCTGACAAAAATTATTGTTTATTTCCAAAAAACCAGCGAGGCCATAAACGGTGAAAATTAAGAGTTGTGCAGTCCGCAACAAGCACGAATTAAGCATCTTCGTAAGAGCGTTAAAAATACTACAAAAAAGCATTAATTAAACGATTTAACGAGAAAACAAGCAAAACAAACAAATATATGAGCATAATAATCTTGATTTTAGTTTGCTGCCCATTCTCTGTTTTCATGACAGAGTACGATGTAAAGTACAACCAGAAGGATGGTGAGATATGTGCAAATCTCGAAACTTCAGTGGGCCCTCGCACACAGCGGTCAATGTGGTGGATAGAACGTGAGACGGGTGCAAGGGTGGTCGCGGGCTCGAAGACCAACTAAGGTTCTGAGTTCTGTTCATACCACAGCATCCTTGTGGTTCCACTTCACCTCGTATCTGTCATAAAAAATATACTGGAGAGTAGATAAAAGTTAAAACGTTGTGATTTCAACTACAGCTTCACCTTAACTAGCTCATTGCCGATTTGTGCTCTCCAGACCATTCCTGTCGTCGGCTCTTACCGATAGCACCGCTGGGGAAAAACTAGCCGACAGAAAGGCAAAGCAAGCACCTCGGTTGGTGCTGTGAATAGCACGTGAGCTCATGCTAAAGGTAACCACGGGTTCGAAGCCCAGATGAGGTCCAAATTTTTGTTCAAATCTCTGCATCGCTGTGGTAATAAGGACATAGTTTTTACAAATTGTTCACTCACTTTTAAATTCCATTCGAATCAAAACCTTTGGGAAAAATCGAAAAAGAACCCTAAATTCTTAAAACCTTCTACACAAGCGCGGAGGCGAGACATCCAAGCGTCGAATAAAATTGGCCCATTGAACTGTTTTAACAATCAAAATGGAAGCATAAAAAGACGAAAACAAAATTTGATGAGCTCCAGAAAACCAAAATTTCGTTTTTACCGGAAAAGAAAACTTCCATGTATTGGGCAAGATCTATAAATTCCTTTAGGTTTTCGTTAAATTAGTAAAGTTCGCTTTGAACTTTGATATTTTAACCACAACGATTTTGAGATATTCGCGAAACTTGCACCCCAGCCCAGATCGTACAGCGATTTCCCTTTCGGGTGCTCGCGTATTACACACTGCCTGACGGAGGCCCTTCCTCCGAGTTTCTCTCAGCTAGTTTTCTATTTACCAGTGTCATCAGCAATCACCAGTCAAGAGATTGATCTGGAGAGCCCACATCGGCATTCAACTTAGTTAAGTTGAGGCTGCAGTCGAAATCACAATGTTTACTTTTTCGTCTGCTGCCTATTACAATTTTCACGGCAGAGTATTATGCTAAATCAACTACAACGATGCTGATGTTGGCTCTCCAGATCAATCCCGTTGAAGGGTGATTGAGGTTGACACTGGTAGATAGAAAACTAGCTGAAAGAAACGCCAAGCAAGGGCCACCGTAGCGTAATGTGTACAGGAAAGGGAAACCGTGGCTAGATCTGGCCAGGGTTCCATGTTTTACGAATATCTCAGTATCATTGTGGTTGATTTCGCACAATACCCTGCGGTGAAAACTGCGGTAGGCAGTAAATAAAAAAGTAAATATTTTAATATTTTGGTTTAATGCTAAAAGTCGGCATTAGTGTCAATGTGTTAATGATATTTGTTACGTATTTATCGCATGCTAATAAGAATGAACAAACAAAATAAGAAAACTGTCCTATCGAAAGTTCCCCAAACGCCCTATTTTTTTCACTTTTCATGCCGATTTTCTGCTGGCAAAGTAGCTGGAAAGATAGGCTTCTCACCGACTACGAATATTAACTGCTACATAAGCAATTTAAGCAGAAAATCGAAAAAAGAGTAAAAGAAGTACAACCAAAATGTTGCTGAGATATGATAGAAATAGGTGCGAGACAGGCGAAACGAAGGACCCGCATGGTGTGGTGGTGAACGCGTTACCCACCGGAAAGGGTAATAGCGCGTTGGTTCCCCACCGCAGACACCTGCGGTCCGGAGTTTTGCAAATATATCAGCAACGTTGTGGTTGCATTTCGCTTAATACCCTGCCGTAAAAAAATGTAGTAGGTAGAAAATAAAAAGTAAAACAAAGAGTAGCAGGTTGGACGGAAAACGTCTACCACATTTGACTGGTTCCGAATGGAATCAGAAAAACCATAGAACACACATAGCAGTTAGAAATTCTCAGTGATTAGAGCCTTCAAAAAAAGCGCTCACTCTTGATAAGAAGAGTTTTGTAGTTCATAATGAAGAAGTGCAATCAGATAGTGAGAATGACCGCACCCGAATTAGAAGCAGAAAAACGATGTTTCTACTGATGATTATTTGGCCACCCAATAATAATTAGTAACAAAACAATTAAGTACATTCTACAGTATTCCAGAACTGCTTTGCCTTTCAGAATCATTCTACATAAGACCAACTTAATGAGGATTCTGCTAGTCGTTGAAATATTGAAGGATCGTCATAATGAGAAGGACAGATCTGATATGATAGAGCGAACGAGATGTTTTTTCTTCTCGTGATGAAACAAATCCTATGAGTTTTGGTCATATATAAAACAGAAAAAACAGCAAATAGAAGTGTCTTATATTAAGAAGGCGAAAAAGTAGTATGACAGGAGAGAGCGGCCTCCATTCCCAACTGCACTAATCACCTGCGGCCGACGAAAATCGATTGACTGTCGACCATCAAGAAGTGGTAAACTCGTTAGATCGATAAGTGAAACATCACCATATACGCTAGTTCGCAACCGCCTATATGACCGTCTATGTGCAACTCAAAATTGCATAATTTGCCCCAATGGTAAAGACCGTGATTGCATGAGCTCGGGTATAGTTTATCTGATCTCCTGTAAGACGTGCGGTGACGAATACATTGGCGAAATGGGTAGACCCTTCTGTGTCCGCATAAAAGAACACCTAGCCGGCAAACACAGACCAAGTACCCCGCTAGTCACGCATAGGACCCAGAGACATAACGGGGAGGACTTTGAGGTATGTGTCACGATCCTCGCACGCGAATCAAGAACACAGGCGCGAAAAACTCTTGTGGCATTCTGGATTAATTCCAGAAATCCAAAAATGAACCGCAGGAAAGAATGCCTCATTATCACGCGTGATGTAGGGCAGTATATAAGACTGCTATTCTGATGAGTGGGGCACATTATACTTCCATGTGATTTCTGTGCGGTTGGTCTCTACGTGACATACTTAGTGGAAACCTCATAGAAAGCGGTGAGTGTGCAAAGCTGTGTTCAATGTGATTGAAATCTTGGTTTAGAGTTTCTTTGTTTGGTTATGGAGGCGTCTGGCCGAGTAGATTGCTATCAACTTGACCTTTCCAGGCTCTGAGGAAGGCGAAATCCGCCGAAACGTCAGCTTATTCGTGAATAAAGAATAATAACACCTCGTGTTTGCTCAACAAAAATACGAAGAATCACCATATATAGATGTAAACGATGTAATGTAGTCGATTTCTTAGCAGAATGGTGCAAAAAAACAAGCATATATTTTTAATCGCTTTAAACAGTTAAAAACGCGTTTAGCAATTTGATTGGTCTACAATGATTAAGGATAAAAATAGAGCTCTCGACGTTGATCAATCCCTGAAGGATGCGTCATGCATTCCACTTTATTAAGCATCGTTTGGATGTGGTTGAACGCATATACAATGAGGCGCGGTAGCCTTCCGATGTATCGAGCCAATGCTGCTGTCCACCCAGACAAGTTTGGTACCAATTTGCCGACCCAACCTTGGGCACAGAGATCGATCCGGTGTGTATTGTAGGGCGCCTTCGACCACTGTGCTACACGCGCCCTTTTATAATGATGTCATCAATAGGTATGTTTATTTTTCAGTTTTACATAATCCGACGTCACATATCTTAATGTGTGAATCCCAGTACTTTTTACATTCGATTCTTTTCCACTCATCCATCATCCATTCATCACGTCCTTCGGATCTTGCGTGTAGGTCCGGCTTCTGTTTGAGGATTTTTGGTTTTCTTTATGGAATATCGTTGAATTATTACCTAATCAAATCTCTCTAGAACAATAAGATACAAATGCTTAAGCTTGCCTAGACTTTGCGAATAGGAGAGCTTCACATACTGGTCCTGCACTAGTTATTCAGTTTGAAGAATGGGAAATATTAACTGGCCTAGTTTGGGGTTGAAGCATTGTCTTCAGCTCTCTGAACAGGTTACCACTGTTCCACTGCACCATCAATATATTTTTCTCATATGATCGCATAATCCAAGCGATCAATTTTCTGCTGTTTTTTCACTTTCTTGTGAACACATGTTGTAGCATACACTTTAGAAGCCACGGCAGAATATTTCTGGTGACAAAAGGTAGCTTAGTTTTTTTAGCAGCAGCACTTGAGGACTTGAGCATA